ATTTATGTATAGAATGTGCCTACCTAAAGTGAACGACTTCTTTTAACAATATTTCTTATTCTATTTTTTTTATGGCATAAGCCGGTTAACGAGCAGTCGGATCACCTGATGGTAAGCAATCGGCGTCGACCATGGACACCTGGAACACCAGAGGCGTTACAAGTGCATTATCGGCCTTTTGGGGATTAGGAGTTTGAGGATTGTTGGGGATTCAGGAATTGGGGAGTTTGGGAGTTCGGGGAAGCGGAGGGTAATTGGGCCTCCGGTAACCTCACTCACACGACGAAACAAAACGAAAGCGTTGTTTCACGTCGGTTTTCTGTGGAGAATTTCGTTGGTTAAACATTTATTCTATGTTTTGATAATTGTTGTAATGTATTATTATAATGTATAATTTTTAACAAAAAAGTGTCTTTCTGGTCTAATTGAAATAAATGATTTTGTTTTTTGACTTTAACTTTGGTCAATATATGTCACAGTTCTTACGACATCCGTGAGTAAAGTTGGCGATATTATTTTATAGGTACTGCTGTCACCACAGGCTCACGACGGCACGTGTTCCTAAGTATATATCTCAAAACATGGACATCAAACGTGCCTAAGTACACACAGAAGTTAGTCTTTGAATGAGATCAAACTTGCAAGTTGTTCCTGCGTCGAAGTTTATGCAAATATTTAGAACTTAGCTCATTTAGTAGCATGCAGTCAAATGCTACGTGTGTCTATTTTGAATAGACAAGTAATAATATTAAGTAAGTTGGGAATCATCTACGATTTTTTTTCGGTTAAAAATAAATTAATACTATACACAGAGTGTCCCTTAAGTCGACGATCAAATGGCACCAAGTGATCAGCAAGATCTTACATGTAGCAGAAAAATATTGAAAACATTCCAAGTCAGATAGTTTTCCAAGAAAAAGTACACCCTGTGCCAGTCATTTGACTCTTTTTGGTACACTTCTTAATTTTTTCGTCTGTATTTTTGCTTACGTTATCCTTAATAAGTGCTTCAGTATTATGGAATCATGAACTGATAACTGTACCTTGCCGACCACCTGGTGCCATTTGATCGTGGACTTCAGGGACACCCTGTATAAGAAAACATAGAAAATAAAAAAGGAAAGAAAACAAAAAAATAACTTAAGGCGTCGAAAAAATCAAGTCTCTATTAAAACGAGTAAATATAAATGCATCTACAATAACTTAAATTTTTTAAAAGTCTTATTCTATTTTGTAGCCTCTTTGCAAATATCTATCTATCGCCATATTCACCATAGAAGATCGACTTCTAGAAAAATCTTTAATAATGTTCAAATAATATTCCCCAAAAATGTCATAACAGTCAATTTACTCAAAAGAACTTAAAAAAAAAACAAAATGAAAAATCAAACCATAAAATATCACTTAGCGAGCTTTTACAAGAGATTACTGTCGCGCCACACTACATAATATTTTTATGAGCACTTTTATTTCACACCTGAGTCGCGGTAATAATGTGTAACGGTGGAGCTGAATGATGTCACGCGAGAACTACCTGTTGCTCTAGACTCTAGACACGAACACGACATTAGGAGTGAAGATGGAAGGATTTCAATTCGTGTGTACCTGTCTTTATTTAAAGAAATAAAGAAAGAAAAAGCATTTATTTGGCACATGGCACACAAACGAAGATTATGAAAAATAAAAAATACAAGTACGTACTTACACAAATACATAATATCAAAAGCAAACATAAAAGCATAAAGAAAATAACAAAAATCATCAAAATATAAGAAAATAATGTACATATGAAACAATTGAAATAAGTTTTTGATATGTGGAAATCTGTAGGTATATTGTACCCACGTTGAGTTCTAAAGACTTTGAGAGTTGAGTCAATAATATATTTTTTATTAAAACATAACATCACGCCTTTTTATCCCCGAAGGGGTAGGCAGAGGTGCACAGTGCGGCACTTAATGCCACTGTGCAATGTAACACACATTTTTCACTATTTATGTTATGAGTCCCATGTAACGTGATGTGATGTCACCCCCTAGGTGAGCCTATTGCCATATACCGGGCACAATTCCAGACTCCGTGCTACTACTGAGATTTTTTTTTAAAACATATCTAACAAAAAGGTATCTGGTACAAGACGATTCAATGTGAGCCTCCTCGTGTTCCGTGGCTTATGGATATATGTTTAAGCAGACGATTAACCGTAACAGCATTACGTCTGAGGTCTGGGCACATGCCACTCAACAAGTTTGCTTTCATGATGAGGAAAACTATTTCCCCGAACTGCGATCTATGCGGCGTGGTAGAAGACGTGCACCACTTGTTGGTGGAATGTGTACGGTAACAGACGTACAGAGAGTCCTTGATGAGGAGTCTTAACTTGAACAGACTAAGCGTTGGCATGTTTCACCATTTGTTGTCAAATCCTTCTTCGGAATCCTCAAGAAACTTGTTCAGAGTCTTTACGCCTCATCAATAATAAGAAGGAATAAATATTGATCTTTTGTTACTTTCTTTAAGTACCTATATTGTCTAGGTATGTTAAGTTAATGTTAAGGTTTTCTTTTTTTATTGCTGTTATTAATTAAGTTAAAGTTACGATGGAATTGGCATATACTGTAATGTATAAAAATTCCTAAAAAATAAAGAGAAAAAAAAAAAAAAAAAACAATTAGGCTGGTTTCGGTCTGACTCTGACGCTGACGGCATGCGCACCGTCAGCGCTGGTGGGACGAGATATAATATGTGAACTTCTAGGGAGCATTTTTAGGTTACGCATAGCTATCTGCCGGCTCCACCAAGTTCATATGTCTGGTTTTAGTGTCGTGCTGACCGCTCGCTGACCGTCAGCGCTGACAGCCTATTTTATTTGATATTTGATGGGCCGACGTTTGACCACTATCTCGCCTAGTGCTAACGTCCCACAAGCAACCTTTGACACCTATTTTTGATACAAACCCTAAACAACTAATGTCAAAAATCGATCCTTATCCAGCAGATAGCAGAGACATGCACAATTGGGTACTTGGCAAATAGTCAAATTCAATATTTTTTTCGAACTGCAAAAAACGACAGTTTTCTATGAATTTTGTATGAGATTATGTATTGTGACGTCACATTTTTTGAGCATCAAACAAAATACCTATTTCTTTAAAAAATGCTGAAAAAGTACTAAAATTAAGTTGGTAATAAAATCAATTAACGAAAGTGTGATTATTGTATTGAACAGTCGAAATAATTTATTTCTGATACAGTAAAGTACCCTATTGCTCAATATTTCTTACACATATGAATAGTAAGTGACAGTCCGCTACTGAACTATAGGCACCCTCTAAATAAGACCAATATCTCCACTCTCGATAAAAGATTCGGAGACTGTAGCATAAAAGGTTCAGATATAAAAGCGCCGTCTGAATCAGTTTTACCTCTATGTATAGCAATTGTCTAAAGAATAACACAACATAAACGTAGGTACATAACAGATGGTAAGACAACCGAAGCCAATGGATTAACTTGATTCCCGAATCTATGTTCGATATCTGGTTCGATCCTACTGTACCTCATCAATTTGTCCCTCCCAAGTAAACAATATAAAACTAAATAAACTGTTAAACCATATGCCGACGGTTAAGTGAACGGCTTTGATAACAACCACCCCTATTCTGTGTATATCGAAAAACAACCACAAAACATAACATTACGCCTTTTATTCCCGATGCCATTGTGCCACTAAATGCCACTGTACAATGTAACACCCACTTTTCACTATTTATGTTATGAATCCCATATGGGGTGAGCGTGAGCCTATGGCGATATACCAAGCGAGATTTTTTTTATAACCCAGTAATACCTTGCCCGACCTGGGAATCAAACTCGAGACCCCTTACCCGGCAATTGCATTTGCGACCACTCGGTCAACGAGGAAGTAAATAATCTCTCAACATTATCTAATAAACCTGAATATTCTAATGTTCGATCTCAAACCCATCTGTCAAGCGTGAAAATTATGGGAAACTCTCTTGTAGGAGGGCCAAAATCCAATAGACTGTCACGGGTATTGATAATGATGATCAAACCCACTAGCAAGATACAAGCAAATGAGTTACAAGAGGAATAATCTCGCCATCTCACAGCCACCCACGCACGGACGAGAAAGCGTAACATAATCCAAAGAGCGTAGAATCGATCGATTCCTATTAGCTATAGGTAAAGCTACAATTTCATATTTAAACAAAACAGTATGAAATGTAAATTATTAATGAGGTTCTCAATAATTCTGTAATCCAATTTAAACCTTTAAACTCGTTTCAATATTGTTTTACAATTTGGAATTGTAAAGATATTGTTAGATATTCCCTTTTGGAACTTTTTGTGTTGTTACAAATTATGACTATCGGATTAGATGCGAGTACTTGTGATTGCTAAAAAAAATATGTATGGGGTTTGCTTGCTTCTAAATCAAATTCAAGTTTCGTCAGTGATAATGAGATTAATGCTTTTGATATTGGACCAAAAATTATTCCGAAGTGGTCGTTCTTATTTTAGTAGTTTTCTTACTTTTTTCTTTATTAATTTTTCTTACGCCTTTTGTCATTTCAATAAAAAAAAAAGATTAATATTTTGGCTTCTTTATTTTAAAATCTTCAATAGAGTGATGTAAAAAAAAAGAAAATATTATTTAACTAAAAAAAGTCAACAATATTAAATACTTTGTCTTGAAATTTTACCTATAAAATAATGTTCATTTTCATTTATGATGCCCGGCGGTTACTATCCCAAAAACTCTCATTATCTATTAAAATTAAGATCCACAGTAGGTACACTCAAACTTAAAGTGGTGAAAACCGAATGGGATACAAAATTAACGAAATCTGAGCACGTTAAGGATAAAAATGAATAATTAATCAGATTGAATCAATGCGAACCCTCATCAAAGTCATATCTGTGCGTCACGAGCAGCTCGCGTCAATCGATAGAGCGGACAGATTAGACAAACTCACCTGGCAACTCCAAAAAGTTTGACGTCCTCCTCTGACGACCCCTCATAGTGTTTTGGAAGTTCAGCGGACCTATGTCTTCTACAGAGTCGCAGTTTGACATGGTAGACTCCCTCGACCCTCGTCTACTCGCCAAGTACGCCAAACCTCCCTTCATGGACCCTCTACGCATCGGAGAACATGGTCTACTAATACTCGTCGATCGAGTATGAGGCGTGTCATCGGTCATATCTGTCAAATCTGACGTCGACTTTCGACAAATTTTTGACGATATCGTCGTGGCCTCGTCATCTGCGTCGTGGAGGATCGCAGACGGAGTGCCTGGCATTGCGTCTGTGGAGTCATCTGTGTGACTGGAGACTATGCTCGGTGACGTCACGAGCCGCGGCGAGCTCACTGTGGAAGTAGAACTGTATAGTTTCCTCGTACGGTTGGGGGACACGTAGCCAGGGTTCGTGTGGATGTGCACGGGAGGCGGTTTTGGCGACCTGGACTTCTCTCGACGACTGTGCTTGAGAGATGTGGTGTAGTGCAGGCTGGCGCGCTCGACGCATGGACTCGACCGGCCGGATGGGGACTTTTGGGGGAAATTAAAGTGCCTTGGAGACATCGGACTTCTGTGTCCGTGAGCTATTGGAGATTTAGGGGGCTGGTTGTGCTTGTCATAGCTGCAGCCAGACTGGGGGGTATAGTACCCGGACGAAGACGTGCTGGATGCTATAGAAGGACTTTTTTGGGGGAATATAAAGTGGCGAGGGCTTTTAGGGGTGTGTGGTTTAGGAGAAACGGGTGGATAACCTCCGGGGCTGTTCACCGCCATCTTGATCACTAAACACTATCACTGGCTCATTTCACTGTCCATCTGAAAAGAAAGAAATGACAAACGTTAATAAAGTCTAACTCAATATCGAGACCCAAAGTTACATTTATCCAAAGGCGTCCACAGATCTGAAAATGAAATTAATGTATGCATATTTAATTTTGTTTTTTATTTATTTATTATCCCCTTTTCAGTTGGTCGCTTTGTCTGCAACGCAGTTGTTACCTTGGCGACAATATCTGCGTAAGCACATGTAGGGGTCGTCGTACCTACGTGTGACGTTACCGCAGCATATTTAAAATATGTCAAATCTCTGTTCGAACCACTCAATCAAGAGTGTTGAAGTTGTGATACAGAAAATAGACCCAGATTCGTGTACTATTTCCCAGCCAAAACCTAAACACATAATAATGTAAAACGAAACACAATTGTCCCTGACCATGAACTGTAAGACAGTGAAACACAGCAGACGTGCTGTCAAAACAAAAACAACACGGGCAGAACCATAAAACATCACAGGAGATGTACACACACACACACACATACATACACACGTATAAATATTGTACAGTTAACGTGTCTGTCCGCATAAACTGTGCCTGTCAAACAGTGAACTGTATTAAACTTGGCCTATGTCTCTCTCTGTGCAGGGATTAGGGTGTGTGTCCATTTACGCGAGATTTCGGTAGGTCGACGTCGATTTTGTTTGTTTGATGCGAAATCACATGTACGTTGATCCCATTTCGGTAATTCTTGGATAAAATTGATTCAATTACAATTTAATACACAAAGATCTATAATACACTATTCTATTATAGATCACAGAGATATATTTTTGGATTATATTTGGATATCGGTCAGTAATGGCCTAATATTGCATTTAGAACCTTGTGCTTAAAAGTAGCACTAGCCAACAGACCAACGAAACAAATCTAAGCTTCCAATGACTTCTGATAATGACTGTGGCATGAACCTCATAAGTAATGTTTTTATTTTTCATGAAGAATAAATAAATAATATTTACTCTCCAGTTCCGCGTAACAAAAACAGCGGCTTTACAACAAAACTCCAGAAGGGACAACTCGGATCAAATAAAACTTATTTTCAAAGGAGAAGTTTACGTGATCATTGTGTTTTTTCTTTTGTTTTGTTTCTTGTTTGTCATATTCCTAAGCGGGGTTATTTTGTTTGTACAAGTATATATTTTTTTATAAGAATACTTTATTCAATATTATTCTTCTGGAAGGCTCGATATGAAGCTACCTAATTGGGTGAGACTTACAAACTAACAGTTGTTTAAGTTTTTCACATAATTCTTCTTTTCTTTAATTTTTCTTGAAGCCAAGTTTAGTACTGAATTTAAATGGATTCATTTTAATAATAGACATAGACACTTTTTAGTAATATAGTATGACTGTGTACGTCTGTGGGTACTTTATGAAGACCATTATAGTCTTTGTGCATCATTTATAGTTTAGGTACATACATAACCTCTTACCTGCCTCCCATGGGGGGTAGGCAGAGACTATAAAACGCCAATTGCTACGATTCTTACACACCTCTTTCACTTCCTCAACAGACATCACTCTTTTCATGCCTGCTCGTTGGTTGGTCGTTTAAATTGACCCTGTTTCACCTAATCTTTTCATTTTCTGACAGCTGATATAAAAACATTGCCTAACTATTTATAAAGGTTTAAAATCACCTGCTTTCATCTTTGCACTGCTTAAAGGTTGACTGGGAGACAATGCCCAAGAGATTAAGTCCACCTGTACACACTTGTTGTATGAAGTAGACATAAATAAAATAAATTATAACAATCTTCAAAGTCATCCGTAAATTTCACCCGAAAGAAAGTTAAGGTAATAAACAACATATTTGCATATAATTAAGGTTTAATCTCAATCTACCACAATAGAAGTATTCGTTTAAGATTGAAAGCCAATCTAATACTAAGGCACGCATGATGGATAGTCTCCGTTGATGGATTAGCTCAAATAAAGTAAATTTCGCCTTTAGAAATTCACGATGACGGATGAATTGCGCCGTTGATTTTACGTTCGGTTGTTTATGGATGGTGTCCATAGAAAAAAATAGTTTTTTTTATGAGACAAGCCCGCCATTACCTCCTTATACCACTGCGACTCTTGTAAGCCAGGATCTACAGAAGATACAATCTCGAAAACATCGAAATACTGAAGACCGGCGCGTCCAAGGGAATCAGAAGATGTTATTATAGGAGAAGAAAAAAAAACAATTTTCACTTGTGGTGGTGGTAGTGGTGGCGGTGAAATGGTTCATTAACTCGTCGAGTACCGTCGTTATAGACACAATTATAGAACAATAGGTTGCGGTCACCGGTGACCGCTTGGTGTTTGACAGTTTAAATGTTTATATTTTTACTTAACCTTGAATTTTAGACGAGAGTACAGTTAATATCATTGACAGTTTCTATAATTAGGTATGTTCTGCATTGTATTACATTATTGTTTTTATTTTTATTTGATTTGTTTTGCGGTTTCATTTGAATTTATTAATATCAAATTAATTTAAGTTGTATTTGTTGATTTGAAGTTGTACTCTTATTTTTCCTGTACAACCTTCTTATGCGTGTGGTGTATACCTTTAAGTGATTCTAACACTAAAGTATGTATCTGTTGCATATAACCTAAAATTAGAACTAGTGTGTACAATTGTTGGTGAACTAAATAAAATTAAAATTCAATGTTCTCTTTTACCTACATTTATCAGAAGCCTTTTCACCGATATCCCTCTATTTGTATGCCATTTCTTAAACAAGTCATTTATATTTCAAACTGTCTTTTATCGAAAAAGCTATTTCACTACACACCGTCAAAAGCAAGATATAAAATAGGTTAAAATCAACAAAGGTGTTTGCTTAACAGAACATGTTATTTTACAATTCAAGCAAAATATAACCTTATCTCCATTGCATAGAAGCTAGATCAATGTGTCAGTTACCATGGCTTCCTGTTTCTAATAAACGTCAGCTGTCGGCTGCTAGCTAATCTAAGTGATAATCTTCACACACGCTCGACATGACCGGTCGCTTCAACGTTCCGACAGCTAATGCCATTAATAAATACAGTGCACCCCCCTCCACTTTATTTATTTTGCAGTCGAACGAGTTGCTTTTTTAAATACCTACTTTTATTTTATAATTTAATTTGAACTGATGTTGCATTTTTTATTTTAATGGTGAGTCTAACAAATGAAAATCAAGTTTTAAGCCAGGATAAAAGTTGCTCCCATTTTACCAGTTATATTATGCGTCCCATGCCCATGGTCTCTGAGCTATTTCAAAAATTAAAAAGAAAAATACTTTTCTCAACCTGAGACCTCGTGACCAAAGTGCAAAGCACGAATAACTATTGCATTCGTAACGTAATAATATCGAGCGCGTTCGGCGCTCTGATTGGCCGGCTCAAGTGAACCAACCAATCAGAACGCTTAACTCGCTCGATACGGTTACGATACGAATGCGATAGTTATTCGTGCTTGGCACTCAGCAGTCAGGACTCGCGCTTACGGTCACTTGACCAACATAACA